GGGACAGTTGGGGGCGGGGTGTGCGGCCTTATGACACACTTCCGGTGATGTCGGGGTGTGTGGCCTTATGACACACTTCCGGTGATGTCAGGGGGTGTGGCATATGCTAATGAGTTATGCTAATGAGTTCCCCTAGCTCTTTTTCTACGAAACGACCCCTGTTCCAGACCTTGTGGGAACAACTTTAGAAACTGCCCTGCACAGTTGCATTCTTTCCCTGTACAGTCTGGGAAGGAAAACGGGGTGCTGTTGCTTGATCAAAGCGGGGGGGGGGGGACTAGCTTGTTTAACCCCATAGTTTGTTTTCATAGCAATTAGTCATTTTAATACCTCGGGCTGAACTCCTTCCCGGCAGATCCCACAAGGCTTGAGCTTTGCTTTCAGTTTAGAAACGTTTCTCTCAAAGCCAGAGTCTGCTTTCACGTTCCTAGGAGAGCAGGAAGGTTAGGGTTAGATGGGACTGAGACACCACAAGGAACCAAGAGAGGCTCTGGGCAAAATTCTGGTCTAAATGGTTTTAAATGGATCCTGGTGAACTCCTAGGACTTTAACCTAAAACACCTTGTCTGTGGGCAATGCTATAATATTCATGGCACTGCCACGGTGCACAAAATACGAGGTAAATCATGAATCCTCATGACTTTTACATAGAGGTCCCCCAAAATTCACATTACAGCCACATCCACAGACTGAACTGCTGAAGAGCATGAATCCAGCGCTTTTCATGGCCACCATAGTGCAAAAACATATATGCACAGCATGGATTCTAACAGGGCTTTTTTGTAGAAAAAGCCCAGCAGACACTCATTAGCATATTAGGCCACACCCCTAACAGCACAGCTCATTCACGTATTAGGTCACACCCCCATGTTACCAGAAGTGTGGTCATCCAGCCACACCCACCTTTTGCTTCTTATTCTCTTTACCTTGTTTGTTGTCAAAACTCAGGGCTTTTTGCATGTTAGGCCACACACCCCCAATTGTAGCCAATCCTAATGAGTTCCTGCTGTTGGGTGTGGCCTATTATGCTAATGAGTTCCTGCTGGGCTTGGCCAACTCGGGAGCCAGCCGGAACTCCGTTCCTGTGTGTTCCTGCCCAAAAATAGCCCTGGATTCTAATTAGGGTTGCTAATTTTCAGGTGGTGGCTGGAGATCTCCAGGGGTTACAACTGATTGCCAGGCAACAGAGATCAGTTCACCTGGAGAAAATGTCCACCTTGGAAGGTGGACTAGTATGGCACTGTGCCCCATTGAAGTCCCTCCCCTGTCCAAAGACCACACTCCTCGGGCTCCACCCCCCATCTCTTTCCAAATCTGGAGTTGGGAACCCTATTAACTGACTATTCCATAATACCTGATCAGCAGCTCTGAATGTGACCCATGAGAGAAAGGGACTCATGGAGATACGGTTGCCAACCTCTCTGTTTGGTGGCTGGAGATCTCTTGGAATCACAGCTCTCTGTTTGGTGGCTGGAGATCTCTTGGGGTTTCAGCTGATCGCCAGGCAACAGAGAAAATGGCCACTTTGGAGAGAGGACTCGATGGTGGTGTTGTGTACGCGGACCGCCAAGAGAGGACCACCTGTCCCTCTCAGTGCGTGCAGGTAGAGAGCAAGTCTTCACTCAGAGTGAGAGAGAAGCAGGAAAAGGGAAGTTGATCCCTGAGAGCACAATAAGCATTTCAGAGGGGACAGTGGCAGAAGAGTAGATACAGGAAGAAAGGTCAGTTTGGCTGTCTGGCTACCTAGCTTCTCTTGCAACTCAGTCTGGAGGTCTGAGACAGGGGACATCGCATCGGGAACTTCCAACATCCAGCATCGTTATTCATTAATATTGTCTTACTGACCATTAATAATCCACACCATCACTAAAATCAAGTTGTGTGATGGGAAGGCTGGAAACCTGAGAAAGCAGCTGGCCACAACAGAGTGATACTGTGTTGTGCCACTTCACGAGCATTTATGTCCTTGTATTCAGGGGTCATTTCCTGCGGGAGCGCACAGGAGCGGAGCTCCGGCAGTAAAGAGCCCAAGGGGCAGGCACATGCAACAAGCCCCACCCCCTGCTCCCAGCAGCCCTCAGTCAGAGCAAGAAGCAGCCAGGTAAGTTGCAGAGCCCCCCTCCCGGCCCAAAACAGTCCAGTGGCACCTTTAAGACCAAGTTTTATTCAGGTACAAGCTCTCCCTCCTCTGCGAGGACAGATCTGCACGTTTCCCCCCCCCCCCAATAGCTAGCAATCCAAAACAGTCCAGTGGAGCCTGAGTGGTGGGTGTTGCCTTCTGACACACTTCCAGTGATGTCAGGGGGTGTGGCATATGCAAATAAGTTATGCTAATGAGCTATGCTAATGAGATCCTGCATCTCTTTTTCTATGAAATGACCCCTCTTGTATTACTGGGAAATTGAATTTCTGGGCAGGAGCTTCTGCACAGACCCACTCACAATGACCTCAGATATATATTTATTACACCCATCTTCCAAAAAACTGGGAAGTTTGAAGGAAT